GAAATTTCACCTAATAACGAGCCTATTCTTTCAGTGATTCAAATATCACTCCTATTGTGCCTGATTATTTAAATCTTGGTTTTTTATATAGAAATGTATCCCTTTTAGTCGGATTGCCATAGCGCAAATCAGTCAGCTTAAAAAACGAATTTTCAATTCTTTTCGCATGGGGAATCAGTGCCATCAAAAGTATTTCCACCCCCAACTTGTGCACGGGCTTGTTCTGGATTTCCTATTCACGTTCCAAGTACAATTCGACGAGCTCTATCGATTGGTATAACCAGTGCTCTGAAAAGTATTTTTACTCCCTGATTTGTCCACGATGTTGTTCCCAATTTCTTCGCCTTCTTGCAAGTACTACTCAACGAGCTCTATCGATTGGTTTAATCAAATTTCCATAGATGAAATCAGTCAGTCTGAAAGGCGACCTTCTCTTTCTTTTCTCATGCAGAGTCAGCGTTCTCAAATTATTTCCACCCCGAATCTACCCACAGACTTGTTTCCGACTTCCTACTCTAGTTGCAAGTACTAATCGACGAGCTCTATCGATTGGTATAATCGGATTCCCTAGCTAAAATCAATCAGCTTAAAAAAGCGACTTTTCGATTCTTTTCTCATGCAGAATCAGTGCACTGAAAACTGTTTCCACCCCGATTTGTCCACGAACTTGTTCCCAATTCCATATTCTTGTTCAAAGCACTACTGGACGAGGTCTATCCATTGGTATAATCAGATTCCCATAGCTAAAATCAGTCAGCTTAAAAAGCGATTTTTCCTTTTTGTTGTCATGGAGAATCAGCAATCGGAAATAAATTTCCGTGCCCGATTTGTCTGCGAATTTGTTCCGGATTTCTTATTGTTGTTCCACATACTACTCGACGAGCTCTATCGATTCATATTATCAGATTCCCGTAGCTGAAATCAGTTAGCTCGAAAAGTGATTTTTTGGATTTTTCTCCATGTGGTCCAAGGAGCCTTCAAAGTATTTGTTGCATCCCGCAAGAGATGCGGCAGGAATTTGTTTCAAGTCTTCTATTGTTGTTCGAAGTAGATCTCGATGATCTCTGTCGCGATGTAGAATCAGGTTCTCGATTGGTGAAATTGGCCACTGGAAAGATTTATTTCTCGCTTCTTTATTTACGGAGATTAAATACCTGTAAAAGTATTTCGTTGGTGGATTCGTTTAAAATATTGGTGCAAGTATGGTATTCTTGTTGCAATCACAACTCGACTATCTTTAGAAGCAACAAGAATAGTGAATTTTTCACAAGTTACTCGACCGACCGCCGAAAGACACACTGGAAAGGTGCGGCGAATCGGCTGGAAAAATTCGGAAAGTCCATTTTTAACTCGCCGCTTTTCAGCTTTTATATATATGGTTACACAAATCGATAGAGCCCGTCGAGTTCTAGTTTGAAGAGGAATAGGAAAATTGGAAGAAGTTCCTTGAACTCGAGGACGGAAATAGTTCTCAGAGTAATTAATCCCTACGGAAAATGAAGCGAGAATCGGTTTTCGTGGTGGCAGATTTGATCTATTTAAAATCTAATTATATGAATCGATAGATCTCATGGAGTTCTAGTTGGAAGAAGAATAGAGCGTTTGGAACAAGTTCCCGGACGAAATCGGAGTGAAAATAGTCGAATCTCCTGATCAGTTCACCTAGGTCAACTTTTAAACTTATTAAAGGTTTGACCAAAAGACAGTTAAGGATTATTCTGTAAGAACGATGTTGATTTTATATTTAATAAAACCTAGTTGATTTATGATTTTTCTTCAAATCAGAAGATACCAACTTCTATTATAACTCGTTAGATAGCATTTTGCACGGACAACAAAATGCTATAGCTCTCAAAATTATTAAAGGCGAACAAAAGAAATGTCACGAGGTATACTGTCAAAATTTTGTTCATTTTATACGTAGCATATGAATGTTAGTGTAGGTTGTGGCGTACAAGTATGGTTGAAAAGCAGAACCACACCCAATAAGTCCTAGGCTAATTATCCAACAGAGCTCAGATAAGTTAGATCCCGATGGTGATATTAATTGTTTATCATATTTGATGTCCTATTTGATTTTTGCAAATGAATGAAATGAATAGAAATGATATCATACATTTTAAAGATCTATTGAAACAGTATGTACGTTTTTTATTAGTGTTTTCAGTTTTTGAATTGTATAAGTGATAGGATTGTGTCGTTTATCGAAAGTGTCACCTGACGAATTATGATGGAGGCTAGCTTCTTTTGATTTAAAAGAAAAAATGAATCAACTATGTTGTATTAAATATAATATTAACATCGTTTTTACAGCACGGTCCTTGACTTTTTTTTGGTCCGACTTTAGTGGTTTTAAATATGACAGAGCTTGTTGAATTGTGCTTGAAACACATGAAGCCAATATTAGAACATATTCAAGGAGCAATTTGCGCTAAAAAAGACCGGATCTAGACCCAACATAAGTCACGTTCCACAAGACTCGAAATTTAGCAAAAAGTGCTATTTTTTATTTCATTTGGCTTCAGAATGTTTCTGCACACTAAACGATGTCGAGCTCTGCACCATAGAAGACTAAGTATTTTTCATGATCTTTATTACGTCGTGTTCCGATTGGCGCAAGGCTCATTCTAATATTTTCGTATTTTGATTCGTCTGTCCATAGTCGGAGAAAGTAAAAATCAGAGAGCGAGAAAAAAAGACAAAAGTAACGGACTGTGAGAAAGAAAATAAGAGAGAGGAGAGAGAGAGAGAAATTAAGAGAGAAACAGAAAATTATGGAGCGAGAAAAGGAGAGAAAATAAGAGCAAGAGAAACATAAGAGCCGCAGGTATAAAAGCGACAAACATTGTTGATAATTTCATCTTTCGAAAATAAACGATCCGAGTCAAGCAAGCAAAAAGTAAATGTTGTATTTGAGTTACTGAATTGGTGGGTAATTTTAATTCGCGACAGTTTGAAAACTTATGCATCCATATCTGGATAAAGATATAGAGACATAGAGATATGAGTCTATCGGCTTTTTGATTTCAAACTGAATTTTGAGGAAAAAAACGTTCCCTTTTAAATAACAGAATGGGAGACGGGGCTAGGGCTGCTCAAAAGATAACCATTTTCTTCAAACAAAACACGCGGCGTATAAATTTCACAGTCTCATGAATCTTTTAATCGTTCATGAATGGCTCACAATCGACCGCATTAACAAACTCTCTCCAATACGCACCCACTACGCTAGTAACTACCGATACCTCGAACTCCAACATAATACCTCAAAATAGCTTATAAATTTTCAATCTTCTCAACAAACACGGCAATATAATAATATGGCTATACAGATATGTATATGCCCCTTTTTTTAAAACGAGAGGACTAGGGACGCATGAGGAGACTAAAGAATTTTGAATTTATGTGTGCAAGTATATGCCCCCTTTTTTCTTAGGATGGGAGCACTAGGGCGCTTGAGGGGACCAAAGAATTGTGAATGCATATATGCATGTATACGCCCCCCTTTTTCTTTGGGATAAGGGGACTAGGGAGACTAAAGAATTCTGAATTCAAATACGCATCTATATGCCCTTCTTTTTTTTTGGATGGGCCGACTAAAGAATTTTGAATTCATATATATGCATATATGACTTCAGAATTCTTTGGTTCTCCCAAATCCCCCTAATCTCCCCATTCTAAAAAACAAGGGGAGGGATAAACAACTAAAATATACTAAAAGATGCAGGGTGAAAAGCTCCACGATTTATATAAGACTACTTACCTTATAGTTGCACTTTTTGTTTTCAAAATGAACAAAGTTTTGAGGGGGTCAAATTATGGGCATTGTAAAAATTGGTCGCAGAGAATTTTCCTTCTTTTGCAAACAATTACAGTAAGTTTTTTACTGTGAAGACTGTAAATCTTTCTGTGCTGCATCTTGTGATGTATTTTGTTTTCTTTTGATAAAGCATTTCAGATGACGAAACGATGAAATAACAAAAAATGAATTCGCTGTGTATCAAAAACATCATCAATTTCCCATGGTCGAAATTTGATTGCCCAAAATTTTGTCCATTTTGAAAACGAAAAGTACAACTATAATGTAAGTAATCTTATGTAAATTGTAGAGCTTTTCACGCCACATCTTATGGTATATTTTACTTATTAATACAATGTATTAAGAGATTGTATACTGCATTGTGAAACTTAGTAGAGCATAAATGATAACGAAAAACGTCTTATCGAAAATTTATTATCACGATATTAGTTGAAGTATGATCAAGTAGCATAGAAAAATAGAGCATTCTTCTCTCTATTAGACTGTATAGAAAGAAAATTTCTTAAAACTTACTCTATGGTTAAGTAACGCGGAAATATGAACTTTTGGTATACCATAAGTGCTACGGAAAACGTGCGAAAAGTACCTCATAGTGGATTTTGTTTCCTTCTATTCTTGTCAATTGTTTACGGAACTTGGATGATGTTTCCAGTAAATATCGTATTCATTAAGGTCTACACAGCTGGCTAATCGAAGATTTTGGAAACAGACTACAAAAGATTCTTAGTACTCTTTATCAAAATGACAATTCTATTTATTCCACATTACCAACCAGCTGACATGAATATGTATTCTTGTTGGTGGCTTAGTCTGAGCGATTGAGAGCTTATGTAATTTCGAAATAAATACAAGCGACTCGTTTATAACTATTGTTATTCATTTATAGTGTTGCCTGTAAGAAATATCATCAATTTAGATGGACGCTCCCACACTACAAGCAAATGCATATGTTCTTCAAAATCTTGTCAATTTCATCTTTGTACATGAGCGACTTCTTAAAGAATTTGGTGCGATTAAAATTCAGCTAACCTCTGAATGTATTCTAGCATTGAAGAAACGTAAAATTTCACCGCGGTGTATAAATATCCAAAAGGTTACAAAAATTGATGAAGATGAACTTATTTATTCTGTCCATAAAAGCGAAAGTACCGGCATACGCACTCAACAAGAACCATCAGTAATGAATGAAGCAACTTTTTGGTCTTCATTGTCTCGTTCGAATTCTAAACTTAATCGATCTGATATTTCCATTTTACCAAATAAAAGTTTCTTCTATCCTAAATATCATCGAAAATATTTCGACATTCATCGTTTGCCTAAACAATCACTACTCAAATTAGCTGGCAGAAATGTGACTGATCAAATTCTTCCTTGTTTAGCAAGAGCACATGGACCAGGTGCTATTTTTCCATTAGCTTGTGCTCGACAGCGCCTTTTCTCGTTAGTCTACCATCACGAAGGTGGTGCTCGTCATTGGTATATTATTCCTGCCCGTGAACGAGACAATCTTGAAAAAATATTTGAACGGAAAAAGTCTTCAATTTGTCTCGAACATAAAGAATTACTTATTGATCCTTCCGTACTTGATAAACATCATATTCAGCACCATCGAATCATCCAGTATTCGAACGAGTTTGTAGTTTGTGCAGCTGGTGCTTTAGCACAGAGTTTTAGTGAAAGTGCAAGTTGGAGTGAATCGATCGTCTTTGCTTTGCCTAGTTGGATTGAAGACGGTCATGCAACTGCTCAAAATTCAACATGTCAATGCAATATTAAAGTTTCTTCTCTACCACACACAATCGATGCTAGTTTATTTAGAATTGAACTTATACAGAAATATATTTCCACACATCTTAATATTGTCAATTATGGCAAAACATCTGATATCGAAGGTTAGTCATCGAACGAAGAAATTCATCACCTACAATTTTACAAGATTTTAGATAATGACAGCATGAATATCGTCACCATGGCGAAAATATCAAATGGTAAGATACATTAACTTAATAGTATCTGTTTATAACAACATTTTGACATACCTTTCCTCTTCTTAGAATTCTCTCTAAAAGTGACAATACTCCCCATAATTCCGTGCTTATTACAAAAAAAGAAGATTTTCACAAGAAACATTTTCGATATTCAAGGTCATCTAGATGCAAATCAGATATGGCGTTAACTATAAGAGTAATTTCTTTGGTAATCATTCGAAAAAAATGAGTCTAATATGAGTTCTTGAAAAAGAACTACTGAAAACAGCGTTGATTCTTTCGATTAAAGATACGATAGTTACTTGTTTTGGATCATTTCATTATTGAATATCCTGCCATAGGTATTTACCTTCAATGATTATAACATTTGGATACTTAAGAAATATCGAAAGTAATCAAAGTCTGATTACATATAGGATATTATCTATTTCATATAATTAAATATTAAATATGAGCCAGATCATTTGTTATCTAAGCGATAAATAAAAAGTTGTTTGTTTGCCAAAAAAGCATTTTATCATCATACGTAAAACAATATTAAAATCGTAAATCAAACGGAGAGTTCTATTAATCTTTAGAAAGCAAAAATATCGATCGGTATACTTTCAACACATTTTACTGATGTAGACATGCATCAGTTATGTGAATACGTCTTCAGCTAACAAGCAGAAATGAATCGAGATTATATTTGACATTGAATCGTTCAAGTTTCAGTATTTTAAACAAAAAAAGTTCCTTTTCTTTGTTCAAAGGAATACTATTTAATGATATTTCGTCATTTTCTTATGAGAGGAAAAGAAAAACAAAAAAAAAGAGTTTCTTCCTCCCAAACTATGAACCTTTTAATCTAGAAAGCTGAAAGAAACTGATAATGGCAAGTTTATTTATAAAGTAAACTTTCTTCGTTATACTTATGAGACGATCCTTCAATATACAGAAGATCTTTCAAACTGTCAATAAAGTAAATGAAAAATTTTAAACTGTGAACATAAATCTTACAAAATATATAGCAATAGTTGAATTTGTGTCACGCCTTCATCATATTCAATCTTTCACTGTTTTCCTGATGAAAACACGACTTTTATGTCTTTCATAATGTACTATAGTACCAATGAAAATATGTTTATATCACCTACTTACAGAAATGCAGCAGACAACAATTATTGTCATACATATAGATCTTCAATATCGATAGTTTTAATTAATTTCGACTTGATTTTATTTTTGGTAAAGGTTTAATTTTGTCTACCATGAACCCAATAACAAATGTGTTACCACTTGTATGATTTGATACCATGAAAATTTGAAGTTCTCCAGGTGGGTTTAAACGGAGGCAGTAACGGCGTCGTTGACGATAAAAATACTATCATAAAGACATCGTTCATCTACAGTTTACTCTTGCTTGTAGACCTTTTTTCCCTTAACATTAATAAAGCAAATATTCTTATTCAATAAAATTTATGATTAGTTGTAGACTATGTTGTTCATAAAAGTCTAAATTGAAACAAGATTTTATTTAATAAAATTGGAATTTACTTTTGAACACCGTTATTCATCATAATCTAAATAAGAAAATTTTTATTTAATAAAATTTTATGTTTATTTTTGTACGAGGTTGTTCAAAATAATTTAAACAAAAAAAGCTTGTTGAGTAAAACTAGACTGATTCTTCGACGACGTTTCTCATATTAATCTGAATAAATATAAAGGTTGCACTAATGTTAAATACGGTATTAAACCTGAGTATCAGTAAAAATTAGAGAAAATCCGTAAATCACTTTAATCCTTTCGGGATGAAACATTATTTCTATTAAAAAATTGTTTCTTTTCATTAGTTTATTGAATCTGACTCAGATTTTTCCTATAAAAACTTCACGGTATTCAAAGAAATAATTGTTATCATGTGTTACGCAAAAGGCTAGCTTCGTCCACACATCCTTCTAGTGATCGGTTTTATTCTGACTATTTCTTCGTTTTTCTGTTTTCCATAAACGTTTGTTTGATCGGTAGTTAGGCTTGAAATGTCTGCTGTGAAAAAGTTTATGGCTAATGAAATTAAAGCCGCCATCATCAGTATAGCTTTTGCTCATAGAATCAAGCTCTATTTCATCTTCATTAGAATATTTATTTGAGATCTGAAGTTTATCCAGATCATCTACTGATTCATCATAGTCGAAATTAAAGCCACTCTCGTCGCTGTTTTCATTGGTGCAGGAATCATGTGAGTCGTCGTTTTTAAAGGATTTCATCAGTTAAGTTTCAGTTATGAACAGAATAGACAAATGAAATATACAAGTAGTTTAACTTCTTTTCAACAACCTCTATGCATGCTAGAGCTATAGTGAGTCAACATCTTACTGAACATTCTCGTAAAATCACGTGTCAGAGGAAAAGAGAAAAACTATGACATATTGTACAATCGCAGAAAGAAAAGTGAATATCTGAGAAGGAAATATACAGCATCAACAAACTATATGTATAACATAGCAGTTCCAGCGTCCCATGACCTCTACGTATAAGAAGTTTTAATACATAAGCGTAAATGAGATATTTTTCTCACCGAGACAATAGGTCATACAACACTTGTGCTATCGTCTTGAAAGGATTAAATTATGTTGTAAGAAGTTGCAGATCTGGTTTTAAGTTGTTTTCCAATCTTTTATCATTTTTTCTAACGGAAGCCACAATCGATGTGTTACAGTAATATGCTAATTTCGGTTGTTTTTATACAAATCTAGGATCTCTTCTGCGCATTCTTTATAGACACAAAGAGAAAAAAAGCATTTTTGATGGTGAAGATGTGTCTTTACGTCCTTTTTCACCTTTTAACAAATACGACTGGAGCACGTAACGTTTACAGTGTTGTGTAAAAGATCATCGTAAATGATATCGTATTCCACCATATTTATATCGTTTACAGCCGTTTACTGATTGTTTTATCCGATCTAGGTCATTTAGAATAAATGAATTACATGTTGAGTGGAAAAACAGTAACGAATTGAATGTCATACACTATTTTTATTCCTTGCTGCACATATGCAATCTTATTAGTGTTTTTCGAATATTTCCAAGTTTGATCAAGTACAAATGAAAGCTATACTATTGGAAAAGAGGAGTTTTTATATATTAATTGGTGTGCTTATCACGTTCATACAACAGTAGGTGAGGATGAAGACCGTATCTATAGTAGACAAATACTCTTCCACTAGTGTCTGAAAATCTATGGCAAATTTTCTGTTATACGTACTACTTATCAAAGATTTCGAATCGGTTCATTTCAGTTATCCAGTATCGAATGATGAAAACATTTGGAATAATCTTTGTGTGATCATACGGTGTGTGGTGAATAGAATTTTGAAGTAGTATAATCTTTTCGAAACAAAATCAGACAGATTGAACGAATAGACGATTCAAAATTTTTCGTCATCTACTTTGTCGAAGCTCAACTAGAGTCAAAGTGCAAACCCAGAACCATATGTTTGGACGGACTAGATGATCAGTTTAACTGAATTGATTTTCTGAATAGATTATTTCTTAACTATGGGTTTTCTCTACACACATTAATTTTTCTTTTAGGTGAAATTGCCTCTACAATAAATATGGAACCTATTATACAACTACGTCCAGTTACGCCGATATGTTATGAACTTTCTACTCCGCCGACTGTCTCGCTTGTTAATATGTGTGTTTCAAATAAAGATGGAAAAAACCATGAAGAGACGAATAGTCAGCAACAACTGGAAGTACACAAGTGAGTGGAAGTTATCTACATGAGTTAAGTCAAGAGAATTGGAGTGGAATGAATTAAGTCAACTTATGAGTTCCTTTCGGAAACAAAAATTTTTTTCCTGAATATTCTGTATAAGAAGTATTACCAAAGCTTCTCATTTAATTCATCATTAAATAGTAAGCGTTGGAGAAAATCTTGTTTAATTTAATCCTTTGAATACAAGCGACATGAATTCACATCTTGAGTTTTCATGCTCTGAATAACTTCCTACACATCCCTATTAACCAATCAATTGAATAATATGGTTGAACCTTTTCGTCATAAGCTATTTTCGGTCATATTTTCATAATGTTCTTATTGCAACTAAAGTTGAGAATAATAATCTTGCAATGAACATTCGTTTTTCTAATTTAGAAATTTTATTTTATTTTTTAAATAATCGCACCGACAAAGAGTTAATAAGAGAATTAGCCACTATTTGAAACTGTTAGAATTTAGTTTCCTCAATAATATCATATTGAAATGGTTTAAAAGATCACAAATTTCGCTCACATTCTTTAGTCCAATGATTCGGATCTATTAGTTAGACAAAATTTCTGATTTCAAGATCTAGCATATCGAATATTAAAAGAATATCGCAAACATTCACTTGACTGCTTGCCAAAATTATTTTAAATTTTCCTACTTTTAAGCGAATTAATTATACCGTGAATTCATTCATCATTGTCAAGCGAATCTTTTGAATGGGAAACTGTTGGTTGAATGATTATTCGTCGAATAGACTATTCGGCAAAAGTCGAATAATTATTGTTCCAATAGACTGTTCGTTGGAGAATTTTCGTCGAAGAATAATTAGTTGAAGGAAAATTGGTCGAAAGATATTTCGTCAAAGCATTTTCCGTCGACAGTCATTTGATCGAAAGTTATTTCATCGAAAATTACTAAAATAGTAGCATTTACCATTCATTCTTTTACAGCCCGTATAGGTGTGGCACTAATATTACACGCTGTGTTGTAGGACAAAAAAAAACCAAACCATAGCCGAGTTTTAAGTGGATTCCTCTTAGTATAGTTGCATTGTAAGTATACTTATGATGCACCTACACTCGTCTCGCAATTATAAGCATGAACTGACTCTGTTATATCTTTCAAATTTTATAATATCATTCGTAAATTATT